CCCCGCCCCCCCCCCCACAGAACATGAAAGCCACCTCCCAGAATGACCAGGGTAACTAGTCACTGCACTGTGTATGTGCCCTGCTGCTGGGCCTGCCCCGTGCTAAAGGTGACTGTCCTGTCTAATTACCAAGCCCCTTCCCCCCCCCTTCAGACAGACTCTCCTACAAAAGAAGAGGATGGAAACAGTAATGAACAGAAACGTATTTTTTATTAACAACCACACATGGAACGGGGGGGGTGAAACTTGGACGGGGTCTTGTGTGAGGCGGGTAGGAAAGGACTTTTCAGATTTTGGGGAATGAGAGCCTTCTACTGCTATAGCTGTCCGCTGGGGTGGAGTGAAAGTTTTCACGGCCCCTGCTGCCCCTCCGTGTTTGGACTTTGGGTGAGGGGGGTATGGGACTTGGTGGCGGGGCAGGGCGGTTAGAGAGAGACTGCAGCAGGGCTCTCTCCTCCTGCCTCCGGTCCTGCAGAACATCCACAAGGCGGCGGAGCGTGTCCGTTTGCTCCCTCATTAGTCCAAGCAGCGTTTGAGTCGCCTGCTGGTCCTCCTGTCGCCACCTCTCTTCCCGTTCCATGTTTGCCCGGTGCATTTGGGACAAGTTCTCCCTCCACTGTGTCTGCTGGGCTGCCTGTGCTCGGGAGCATCCCATTAGCTCAGCAAACATGTCTTCCCGTGTCCTCTTCTTCCTCCTCCTAATGTGCGCTAGCCTCTGGGCAGATGTGGCTGTGGGAATTGGAAAAAGGGAGTGAATTCCTGAGACAGATCAATGTATCTGTGAACAGAGAACATAGTCTTGCTCTGTGAACAAGACCATGCAGAGCACCTATCACACGCGCACTGAGGACAAGGTCGAATTTTCGGCCCTCGCCTACAGTGCCTGCGGTCTTGCTGTGGCGAGCTGAGGAGCGGGGCAGGACACCGGACTTTGTCTAGCTGGCAAACATGGTAAGCCGTAGACTTGTGTCTGCTTAAAACTTTAAGAGTGGCACTGGCCTCCTTTCACATAGAAAGCAATGCGAGTCTCTGCTGGCAGCAATCCTGCAAGCATGAACTCTGCCCCTGTCCCAGCCCCTCGCGGCTGTAAACCGCGTGGCTGTAAACCGGCGGTTGCAGTTCTGCAAAGGAACGGGCAAGCAGTCCCAATACTAACTTTCCCCTACCTAATTCAAAGCAGGGCGTCATGCCAGACATCACCCTCCTGAGGGTCTCGGAGAGCCAGAAGGAGAAGATGCTTCGGGACAGCCTGCAGAAACCGGGGCCATTTGCTGCTATGCTCTGCAAAGCCATGATCCCCGAATACCTGCTGGCGTTGTGGCAGGGAAACGTGTCCTACCACGGGGGGCCTAATAAGCTCTCCCTGCCAAAGAACCTGCTAAGTAGGCTGGAAAGACCCATGCAGGAGGTCTATGAGGAGTTCTCCCTGGGGGATCTCGCCTCTATCCCCGGACACATCGACCAGCTTTTGGGTTGGGTGCCCTTGGAGGGACAAAAGAGTGGAGCGTCTTGGGCAGTGTAATCATGAAGCGGACATTGTTGAATTTTCTTAAAATGGTTCGGACTATACATTGAAGTGGACAAAGACACAGTAATCATGATACCCTTTGTTCAGATTCCCCTTTTTGTTGCACTTTCCTGTTTACATGTTTAGAAGCACTTTACCCATTGTTAATATTGTAAATATTCCAGTTTTGTTGCACATACATGTTTACATGTTTAAAGCACTTTAGGAAAAACACATTGTTAATATTATAAATATTCCAGTTCTGTTACAAATAAATGTTTACATGTTTAGAGCACTTACTGCTTGATCCTTCCCCTGAATCTGTGTCTGGGATAACGGCTGGGGACGGTTGGTAGGGGATCTCTGTAAGGGTGATGAAGATATCCTGGCTGTCGGGGAAATCAGCGTTGTAAGCGCTGTCGACTGCCTCGTCCTCCTCATCTCCTTCCTCATCTTCCCCGTCCGCTAACATGTCCGAGGAACCGGCCGCGGACAATATCCCATCCTCAGAGTCCACGGTCAGTGGTGGGGTAGTGGTGGCGGCCGCACCTAGGATGGAATGCAGTGCCTCGTAGAAACGGGAGGTGTGGGGCTGGGATCCAGAGCGTCCGTTTGCCTCTTTGGTTTTTTGGTAGCCTTGTCTCAGCTCCTTGATTTTCACGCGGCACTGCGTTGCATCCCGGCTGTATCCTCTCTCTGCCATGGCTTTAGAGATCTTCTCGTAGATCTTTGCATTCCGTCTTTTGGAGCGCAGCTCGGCAAGCACGGACTCATCTCCCCACACAGCGATGAGATCCAAGACTTCCCGATCAGTCCATGCTGGGGCCCTCTTTCTATTCTGGGATTGCACGGCCATCTCTGCTGGAGAGCTCTGCATCTTTGCCACTGCTGCTGAGCTCGCCACGGTGTCCAAACAGAAACTGCGATTCAAACTGCCCAGACAGGAAAAGGAATTCAAATTTTCCCGGGGTGTGGCTGGTCAGAGCATCCGAGCTCGGACTGCTGTCCAGAGCGTCAACAGAGTGGTGCACTGTGGGATAGCTCCCGGAGCTATTAGCGTCGATTTCCATCCACACCTAGCCTAATTCGATATGGCCATTTCGAATTTAGCGCTACTCCTCTCGTTGGGGAGGATTACAGAAATCGATTTAAAGAGAGCTCTATGTCGAACTAAATAGCCTCGTGGTGTGGACGGGTGCAGGGTTAATTCGATTTAACGGTGCTAAATTCGACATAAACGCCTAGTGTAGACCAGGCCTCACACACAAACACACACAAGCCAACCCGTGCTTACACCACACAGGCACCCCATATATAATTACACACACACAGGGTACTCACATTTTGATACCAAGATAAGTGCTTTAGAAATATCGAAAGAGCGAAGCTCAGAAGGAACAGTAATGTATTGGCATGGCAAAATTCACAAATGTTGCCTATGTGTAAAACAGACACAGGACCCCCAGGCAATGGCCACACGTGCGTGCAATCCAACACACTCTCTCAAACACACCAGGGCTGGCTCCAGGCACCAGCCGACCAAGCACGTGCTTGGGGCGGCACCTTGTAAGGGGCGGCCAATCTTGGGGTGGCGCTCAGGGTTTTTTG